GAGAAGTCATGCTCAAGACCCTGACTCACTCCCGTCCGTGGAGAAGTCATGCTCAAGACCCTGACTCACTCCCGTCCGTGGAGAAGTCATGCTCACGGTGCATGTCCACACCACACTTTCTTTATCCACATTCCAGGGCACTTTGGCTGACCACATCTTTGTGATTGTGAATTATGTATGCTAAACTGCGATAAATATTTGAGGGCACGTATATTTTTATAAAGTGTCTTCTTTTCCTTTGCTGTATTGAATAGTAAGCCAACATTCTTTCTTTGAGGAAACTCCTACTGTTTCCACAGAGGCTGCACTAATTTCTAGTCCCACAACAGTGTGAAAGTGCCCGTCTCCCTGCACCCAAACATCCACTGGTTTTTACTTTTATTAATGGCCATCCTAACAAGGGTAGAATGGTATTTCACTGTGGTTTTAATTTGCATTTCTCTGATGATTAGTGATGTTCAGCATTTTTTTCATATGTTTGTTGGCCATTTGGCTATCTTCCTTTGAAAAATATCTGTCTGTCTTTAGCCTACTTTTTAACTTTTTTTCCTTGCAGATTTATTCAAGTTCTTTGTAGATTCTGGATATTGTCAAGATGTAGACTTTGTGAATCTTTTCTCCCATTCTGAAGACTGTCCATTTACCCTATTTACTGATTCTTTTCTTTGCAGTACAGAAGCTTAATAAATTAAGCCCCATTTATTTATCTTTGTTATTGCTATATTAGTCTTTGGGGTCATAGTCATAAATTCTTTACCTACGCTGATGTCTAGAAGCCTTTTTCCTATGATTTCTACATAATTTTTTATGGTTTCATGTCTTCTTTAATCATCTTGAATGTTTTATATAGGGCAAGAGATAGGGGTCCTGTTTCATTCTTCTGCATGTGGCCACCCAGTTGTGTGTATAGGTTTTCATAATATTCACTAAGGATATTTTGTGCTTCTGTGGTATCAGCTGTAGCATCTTTTTTATTTTCTGATAGAGCATATTTGAGTTAGCTCTTTTGTATTTCCAGTTAGTCTGGAGAGCAATCTATTAATTTTATCTTTTTAAAAACCACTTTTTGTAAGTGACCCTTTGTATTGTGTTTTGTTTCCATTTGGTTTAGTTTGCCTCTGAGCTTTGGTGTTTCTTTTCTTCTGCTGGCTTTGGTCTGGTTGGCTCTTGATCATCTTTCTCTTGAGCTGTGACCTTAGGGTGCTAATGTGCAATCTCTGTTTTTTGGTATTGGTATTTAAAGCTATACACTTTCCCTCTATTTCTATATCCCATAGATATTGAAAGTTTGATGTTCTTTGATGTTCAGTTTGAGGAATCTATTGATTTCCATCTTAAATCATCATTAACCCAAGGATCATTCAGCAGCAAGTTGTTTATTTCCATGGCTTTGTGTAGACTTGAGTGTTTCTAATTTTATTTCACTCTGGTTTAGGAAGATATGTGGTATGATTTCAAATTTTTGAATTTCCAGAGACTTTTTTGGTGGCTCAAAATATGACCAATCTTAGAAAATGTTCCTTACAAGACTTGGCAATTATGAACTGAGCTGCAATGAACAATCTGGTGCATATATCTTTGTTGCCAATTGATTTTTGGTCTTTTGGATATACACCTAGTAGAGGAATTGCAGGATCAAATGGCAGGTCTACATTTAGATCCCTGAGTGTTCTCCAAACTTCTTTCCAAAAGGAATGTACTAGCTTGCATTCCCACCAGCAGTGCAGAAGTGTTCCCTTTTCCCCACATCCATGCCAACATCTGTAGTTCTGGGATTTTATGATGTGGGCTACTCTTACTGGAGTTAGATGAGATCTTAAAACCCATAGGCCCATGAATGGATCAATAAATTGTGGTATATGTATACCATGGAATACTATGTAGCATTAAAAAAAGATGGAGACTTTACCTCTTTTATGTTTACATGGATGGAACTGGAAAATATTCTTTTTAGTAAAGTATCTCAGGAATGGAAAAAAATATCCAATGTACTCAGTACTACTATAAAACCAATTTATAATCACTCACACTTCATATGAGAGATGAATCACAACTATCGCCCAGGATGAAGGAGGGAAGGGAATGGGAAGAAAGGGGTGTAGTTCAATAGAGGGAGGGTTAACGGTGGGACCTCACCTATGGAGCATATTGCAAGGGTACAAGTCAAATCTATCAAGTATTGAACACAAATGTCTTAACACTGTGATTAATAAGGTGAAAGCTATGTTAATTAGTAGGATATAAGCACTCCAATTTGTACAATCAACACATTGAATCCCACAAACACATAAATGTAGTCATGATCTATATATATGACTTAATAAAAAAAAAAGAAAAAAATGTTTCATGTACTGATGAGAAAAAAACCTGTATTTAGTAATTTTTTGGTAGAATGTTCTGCAAATTTCCATTTGTTCTAGAGTCCCCTTTAATCTCAGCATTTCCTTACTGAGGAATGATGTGTCTGACTCTGTCAGTGGGGTACTGAAGCCCCTGGCTAGTAAGATGCTAGTGTTTGTTTAGATCTTTAAGAATCTGCTTTATGAATCTGGGAGCTCCTATGTTAGGTACATTTATATCTAGGATTAGCCCTCATGTTGAATTTCTCTATTTACCATCATAAATGCATTTTTAACCACTTATTATTATTATTATTAATACAGTCATGGGGTACAGTGTGCTGTTTTTATATACAATTTGAAATATTTTCATCAAACTGGTTAACATAGCTTTCATGTCATTTTCTTAGTTATTTTGTTAAGACATTTATATTCTACATTTAGAAAGATTTACATGTAAGATGAACTATAGGCATG